CGCTCCAAGGATCATGGTTTAGATCGTGTGTCTTTGGACAAATTCTTATAAATTAATAATTCTTGTTCGATTACAAGAGTTGTTTATAATTTAGAACTTTTCCCCCATTTTTCCTCCATCGTACGTAGACGTTGATAATTAATTAATCCAATATCTTATTCCGTTTTTAAAAATGCGTAAATGTTAAAGTTTGTTACAGAAACGAGAAGGAACAGCGTGGATCGGCGGTTAAGTGGACAGGAGAAAATCCGGACACCGTCTCACCCTCGATGGGACACAAATATCTACTACTATCTACTACAAATCCTAGCGTGAGTTTGGACGCTCGTCCCCCGTGTTTTCGATTCACGCCACTATTTATTTCCTCGCCACCGCTGGCGTACACGATCGATCGATATTCCCCTTCCCCTACAAATGCGGGATGCCGACGAATCGTCGTTCATTAACGACATTGGACGAAGCTGTGAATGAACACGTTTCGGCGGCGCGTCCCGAAAGTGGAGGGAAATGAATTTATCGGTGGCCGGTGGCGGGCCGGGGATCGATCGAGCGAGCGGGAACGAAGAGGGAAAGTTTGATCGACGCGCGCGGTTAGGCGAGCGGCCACTTCTGATTATATCTATGCATACTTAATGCGCGTTCATAATTGCGCGGGATGACGCGTCGCTCGAGCGGCGCAAAATTGCCGCGGCCGTTTCTCGTCGCCGCGGGTAAGATCGAACTCGGCCGGAACGGAACGTGACATTTTCCCTCCCCCCTCCTCGCTAATGTTATTCATAGAGCGATACCTCTCCTCGGCCGCGCGATACACGCTCGGAGGAGGCTGTAACGAAAACAACGTGAGCTGTTCGTACTACGAAACTCCGTATGAAAGTTCGTTAACGATAGAGAAATTTTGCCGCGGTTAAAAAATTTTCACTTCGGGGACGAGGAAATTTCGCGTTAAAAGCGTTCCGGGCTCGTTTCGCTCTATTTTCTCTTTTCTCTCTTCCTCCCTCCCTCCCTCCTTTTCAAGGATTTTCCCGTTTTTTTACCCGGCCGTTTTGCCGCCGCTCGTTTCGAATGAAATCGTTCGAGTGCGCGAGTTCTTTTTTTTTTTTTTCCTTTCTTTTAACCGGTAAACACTTTGCTCGTTCTCATTAAAATCGTACTCCACTTTCGCGGAAATGAAACGCCAACAAGGATTTTTCAAACATCTTGCAACGCCGCGAGTCGCGCCACTTCAGGTTAGAGCGAGCTCGCGTGCCGCGCGCCGCCCACGCGCAGTTTTTATTCCCGTTTCACCTATTACCCTCCCTCTCTCCCCTCCCCTCCCTTCCTTCTTCCCCTCCTTTCCCTCGCATTTCCCCGTTACGTACGATCGTGCATATAATCGCGTTAATTGCCTAATCCCCGCTAATTGGGTGGAAAATTTGGTGGTCGCGTCCCGATAGGGGGTAGGGGGAGGGAGGCAAAATTAGCGGACGAGAAAAAACCGGTTGTGATATTATATTGTTGTTCCCTTTATACGACGCGGGTCGGAATGGAGCGCAGGCTTTTCATAAATATGCGCACAGTTGTGCCCGGCCAATTTCCATTGAACACCTGTTGGTATCCCCCTCTCCTCCCCGTCCATATTCGGAGAAATATTTAATACAATTAGTGATCGCTTAGTTACGACTTATGACTCGTCCTCTGCGATTGGACAGACAATTCGAATCGACAATAACGTGTTCTTACCTTGAAGAGAGAAGGAATATCGTATAGATAGAAGAGAAGAAGAGGGTTTGGAGAGTTTGGGAGGAGTAGGTAGAGAAGCGAACCTAGCCGATATATTCCCTCGTTCCCTGTCCGTTTTCTCGGGCGAGCAAACTCTTTCTTTCTTTCTTTCTTTTTTTTTTTTTTTCCTCTTTTTTTTTTTTCACCTGTCCCTGCTCGAATGGGAAGAGAGACGCCGGGCCGAAAAATAAGAGCATCATACTCGGGAGACTCGTGCATCTGTTTCCCACTTTGCATAATATTCCCCTCGGGGGTCTAAGAACGCTTTTCCTACTTATACCGGCTTGCTCTCTCTTTTTCTTTTATTTTATTTTATTCTTTTTCCTTTTTTTTTACCTTCGCTATCCCCGCGAGGTCGCCGTTTAAAACCGATTTCGGGGGAAAATATATTTCGATTCGAGAAAAGGATTCGTATATTCTCGCTATACAAATCATTAACGACAGCGCGTTAATGCTCGGTTAATTGCTATAAACACCGGGGCCGAGTTATACGCGGTCGATTAAACTCGCTCAACCCAGTTTTACGACCGGCCAATCTCCATTATTTATATACGAATTCTACGGGGCCGTATTTTTATCCAAGGATATTGTTTACCCGCGGAGACGATTCTTTCTTTTTTTTTTTTTTTAAATTACGATCCACATTGAATTCGAACGGAAGAAATGGTTTAACCGTTGAATTTAACCGTAAATAAGAAATAACACGCGATTATAGCCTTTGTGCCTTTGCGTACCGATTCTCTCTCTCTCTCTCTCTCTCTCTCTCTCTCTCTCTCTCTCTCTCTCTCTCTCTCTCTCTCTCTCTCTCTCGATTCCAGCCAAGAAATCGAGAACCCCCGTTCCGTATCAATTTCACGTTCGGTTCAATTGGCGAGAAAAAAAAAAAAAAAGGGCCGAATCGGGATGAAAAATTTGAAAAACTCTTTGTTTGATCAAAGAAAAGCGGCGCGAAAATAAAGATCGCCGATTAGAAGGATGAACTGTATGGAACGTAAACACGGATCCAACGGGAAAATATTCCGTTTAATCCGGATCGGTATATACGTGTGTATATCTCTCTCTCGAAATAAAAAAGAAAAGAAGGTAGAACCGAATCGAACCCACCCTTCTTTTTTTCTTCGCCAATTTTAAACCATCGAATTCGAGAATATTTAAATTTTTTTTCCAAACTTTCTGCAAAATTTATCCAAAATTTTATATATATCCTTTTGAAGAGGGAACGCCCCATTCGCTCGAATAATTCGAATAATTCGAATAATCTCGCCGATCGTTCGTCGATTGTTAACGAGACGGAAGCGGGAGGACGAAAAACAGAATACGAATCGCAATGATAATCGTAATTTATGCGCAAATTCGAAGCGGATATTCGAATAGAGCATTCGTTGAATTATATGTGTATATATATACATATATATATATATATATATATATACACATACATATACCTGGTGGAAAATGAACCGCACCGTGGAACGAGCCGGATGTATTAATCAAACGGATATATCGCGAGACTCGGGTTGAGTCACGTTTGATGTTGCGTTTTCACGGGGATTTAGACGGGTTGACGTACGCTGCGAGGGGGAGGATGAAAAGAAAGGATGCTCTCCTCGCTCTAAGATCTCTCCCTCTCTTTTCGAAACGGCTTCTCTATTCGTCATAATAATCTAATCATAAATCTACTTCCCCCGCGGAATACACGATCCGCGAATTTTTTAAAATAAATAATTGCAACACCTGGGATGAAAGTTTCATTCGCAGGAGAATGTACGTAGCCTGGGAATTATTCTAATTGTATCGTAACGAGATTAAACGTTCCGCTGGACTGCTCCCTCTCTCCTTCTCTCTCTCTCTCTCTCTCTCTCTCTCTCTCTCTCTCT